AAACAATGTCTACATAGGACAGTAAAAAACCACGGAGCCAAACCACGAGACTGAGGTAACTAGAAGAATAAGAATGGGGTGGAGCACATTTGACAAGTACTCTCAAATCATGACAGGTAGATTGCCACTATCTCTCAAGGGGAAGGTATATAACAGCTGCACCTTGCTGGTACTTAGCTATGGAGCAGAACCCTGGAGACTTACAAAATGTTTTCATCTTAAATTGAGGACGATGCGGCTAGCAATGGAAAGGAAAATAGTTGGTGTAACTTTAGAGACAAGAGAGCAGAGTGAATTAGGAAACAAACCCGGGTTAAGCATATCATAGTTGAAGTCAAGATGAAATAATGGACATGGGCCTGGCATGCAGCATGTAGACAAGATAAGCACTGGTCATTAAGGGTAACTAACTAGATTTCTAGAGAAGGCAAGTGGGTTAGAGTGAAAGAGAAAGTTAGGTAGGCAGATGAGATTAAAAAGTTTGCAGGTATAAATTGGAAGCAGCAAGCACAGGACCAAGTGGACTGACGGAACATGTGAGAGGCCTTTGTCCTGCAGTGAATGCAGTCAGGCTGATGACGATGACAATGATGTAACGATGCAATGCAGCAGTGTTGCGGGGCCTCCACGCCACTGCCTTCACTTCCGAGCTGTTCATGGTGAGTAGCTGCGTGAATATGGGCACTCATATGAGATCCCGGTGGTGGGAAAAGAAATGAGCGAAAAGCTCTTGCACTCACTTTGAGAACTAGTAAGCATGGCGTGATGAGGGACTTGCTTCGAACAAAAGAAGCTTCGCTCTTAAATGAACGAGTTCAGGCACCTGGCCAACTTGATGCCAGAATCCACCGCCCCTCATTTTCAGGTGTATTCTAATAAAAAGGTCGAGATCAGCACAGTGACGTCGGACGCCACCACGTCTTTCACGTTTCTTATGTTTTTTTTGTTCCAGTATGAGTGACCAGTGCAGTGAGGAACGTGAAAGACGTGAACGCTAAGTGGCTGTGTCGATCTCCCTACTGTGTTGATGTCACCAAAGATGTGCTGCTGCTTGAGGCAGCACTGGTTTTTTTTTCTTATATGGTACATCACTTGTGTTGACGTATGTTAATGTCTGCATGTGTTCTGTCCTGCTTGTTCGAAGAATAATGGTTGCAGTCATCCTTGAACGTTCAACGATCGACAGGGAGATTTGATTTATTTGAAAGACAAACCGCTTGCTTTGTACATTATTACTACTCTTAACGTCTTGCTCATCCGAAAGAAGCACGCGGCAGGTGCATAAACTACAACAATGCTTCCTTAAATGTCATGGCCTTAGTTATAGTTTTCTTGACTTCAAATTAGCGATGTTACGTTTGGTGTCTGTTTTTCTTTAACAAGTTTGAGCTAGCTAGCGCCGGAATTGAAATATTTTCTTTATCTGCGAGAAGATTCTAGCTCAATTTATATAGCCTTGTGAAAAACAAACTAGCCTTGAAGAATTGAACAACGAGAGAAATATGTCTTTTTTCTTCTCAGCGGCAAACCAGGCTGAGAGCAGCACGTATACCCACCAGCAATGTCAATTTCAAAGATTTTCTTCACGCTTCATATGAAGAAGAGCAAAGCGAAAGTTGACCATTAACAATAAGTCAGCCTGGGCCTAGTAGGAATGACATGAAATGAATTCAGGATTTCGCTTTTGAGTACACAAGTTGCAACCAGCCGAAAAACTTCTCGGAATTGACTAAAAAATAAGAGCTAGACTGGTTTCTTAAGCGGCAATCATTGTTGAAGGTGAAGCTGCAAGAAAAGAAGAAAGCGAAGTCTCCCAGACCATGAAGCATTTAGAAAAACAGGAGAAGTGAACATGCATATAGATGGATTAAAATATAGTAAGCTAAATAAGTAATAATCAAGAATAAAAACAGGATCTCAAAAAGCTTTAACAAAACATATGTAGAGGTATCTACCGAAACAGACGGTAGCATCAAGAAGGTTTGAAAAGAAATTGTGCTTTCGAAGGAGCAAAGAACAGACTATAAAAGATAACAGAACAACAATGCCGTTCATTTAACGACATGTTAAGAGTAGCGAATAATTAAAACTCTGACCCTCATCATTCTCAGAAGCCACGCACCTTAAACGATGTGAAAGGTTGATTCCATCAATAACATCTTACGAGCTATAAAATGCAAATTATAGGATGACCCATGAAAAAGCAGCCGGGGATAACGGAACTACATGAGGTTTGAATAAACATAAGTGGGCTTTAGTTCGAGAACACTTCTGTAGTTTACACTTGGAGCCTGAAAACCTCAAAACTTCTATTGATCAGGAGAATGCCGACAATAAACTAGAGCGCAAGAAAGAAAAGGTGAAAGAGTTCAAGAATTATAGATCCAACAACATCATCTCAGTAACATATAGAGTATCTACGCAGTTAGGTTAATACGAAAAGTTTTAAAAGTTGACATTAACCGAAATGCTAAGGACTACCGAAAAGATATTCTGAGATTGATCACAATAGTGTGAACAGCAAGGCATCTGAAAAATTTGCCTAGTACAATGAAACTTTACAGATCCACTTCCGTAGACTGCGAAAAGGCGTTTGACTCAGTTTAAGTTGTACCAATCCTGGTATTTCTGATGTTCACAAAGAGTACCTGAAAGACATACAAAGCTCTTCAAGAAATACGAATGAAGTGTTCAAAATGTCCCACAATCGCCGCCTGTGAATGTAGTTTACCAGTTATTCTTCTCGGGTGGTAATTCCGTTTATGCGCAAAGAAGACACTAGGACGCACAAACACAAGCACGTATTCCGGATAAAGCTGCGTGTCGTGTCGCTGCTCTTATACGCCGGACGCCGACTAAGAGACAAAACATTCAGTGATGGTCGCATTGCCACTTGTCTGTGCACTTATATAGGCTCGCTGCTTTTTTGGGCTTTATTAGTAGGTGTAGCCATTCCATTCTGATCCCCAAGTGAGTCGCTGTCAAACAGTGCCACACACTTTTTATACGCACAAGGTGAAATGAGGGTTGGGCTAGTTCGCTTGCCTAAACAAATCATGCACGTGCAACCTATGCACTTGAGAGAAGAGTACTCATAGAACATTTTTGCGTTTTTTCTTAGTTCGTCAGATCGCAATCAAGCAATGAAATTGAAGGTGGGCTAACACACACGTCACCATTTTCTTTTTTTTTTTTGCACATAGAAAAAGCTTCCGCTATCTCTCCTATGCGATAATCTGTCTTTCTGTAAACAGTAGTCGGGTGGCTAAATTCCGAGGTGCGACAGCAGGCCTAACGTTGGGCAGACAAAAGGGAAAACGACGCACATTTCAAAGTGCTATGGTGCTCACGCAAGCACCGATTTATTGGGGGCAAACGTCACGCTGCTTCACGCAAAATGTGCTCACGTGCTTCTTCATTGCTGGTTGCGTCATGCAATGAAGAAGTGAACCCGAACGGCTGTGACAAAGACGCGGTGTAATGGCAGCTTTTTACAATACCGACCTTGATAACGCAGTAAACCAGTCGTTTCATTTGGCGAGAATAAATGTAGCGACTAGCCTGTCTAAATGAGTGTGCATGCGAGTGAGTGCCCCCTCCGCGGTAGCAAGGTGGGGACACCTTTCACCATTTGAGTGCCAGGTTAAAGACAAGTCGTTGACGCGCGAGTAGTCTTTTCCTAATTAGCGTGATGTTCAAGCATGATGCTATATTGAAGTGCGCGTGAAGATGCAGAAATAAAATGGACCACACAATATGTTGAAGGCGTATGCCATAGCGCTTAGGCATGCTGTGAAACAACATGGTGCCCCTGGGAGAGTTCTTGTGGTCCTAAATTTTCTCTACATGTACTCACTCTAGGTAGGTAGCTAGGTATCCATGCTGTAAAAAAGCGCCAGGCCTGCGTGGAACGGTCAGCCCAGCCATAGCGAAAGCTTGAAAAGCGGCATCTTTAGAGCCTTTTTAAGCCATCTTTGGGTAAGTGATAAAAGCACACTTGTAGGGTGCCCACTACTTCATAAATAATCATAATTGTTTTGTAGTAGGAAGGCATGGACGATAATAACAACAATAATTATGCCTCAGACGTGGCCCAATAATTTATTTTAAGTCTCCCAGCAGAAATTTTAAGTCTCCCAGCAGGAATCGAACCCAAGCATTATGCGTGGCAGTCAAGCATTCTACCACAGATTTACACCAGTTCTCGTAACTACTTTTCAAATAGATGTTAAAATAGACGCTAATCTCTGTCAAACGTCAATAGTGGTTGCGGTGCTGTCGAGCCAATTTTATAAACGTTGCATAAGAACTCCTTTAATACAGCCGTCATGTCCGGTTAACGTCAATTGTTGTTCGGTGCCATGCACTGAAGTTGCTTCACGTAGCAGGGTCCAGGGCCAGCACCTTCGCGAGCATCAGCGCTTCATATCAGCTTCTGGTGTTGCTAATACGCATGTTCCAGTTAATATAGTTGCGCAAGTGCAAACAACTGGTTCTATAAACATCTGCAACTCTACAAGATATGTCTCTGCGCGCAATACTTGTACATATACTTAGCGTCAATTCATGACGTGTCGCTCACTGTAAAAAATCACAACACGGTGACCTTCCCTCCGAATGCTTCGCATAACGTCGATTCCCTAGTACGTACGATTAGCCAAATATTTTTGTAGCATCACCTATGCCATATTTTTCTATCACTTCGTTTGCGATCACTGTATATTATTGCGAACGCTCAACTGACCTTGCGTAACCGGTGCACATAAGTGTATTTTACTAGCTGCCATATCGGCGCACACCTGGTTGCGTCAGTCGGGTGTTTAGATAGTTCTTAGCAGACAAATTCTCTCTGTTTTAGATCAGTTTTTGGCTTCGGCACTACCCTGTGACGTGGCACTGAGAAGCAGCTGCACATGATTGTTCTGTCCCGCACTCCGTTTATCAACGTGATAAATAGGTGAACCCTAACGTAGGCATTTCTTGTGTAAGCCACCAGTTTGAAATCACCTGTGCCAAGTTTCATCGAACCTTAACGGATCGTCACTCGCCTCTTCTGTGGCTTTAAGCTCGGTTCTGAAACGCTTTCGTGCTGCAAATGGAAAAAAGACCACACCGCTTTAGTGGCCACCCCGTCGCCGGCGTGAACTGGAGGCCAACTTTTCTGGTCGACGAGGTGTCTGACGTGCGCATGTGCAGCGTTTGCGCAATCATTCCCGGGAAGACGCTGAAATTGCCGTGTTCGCACGTTTTGTGCGAATACTGCTTTGCATGCGTCTCCCAGTCTGGCAGTGGGAAGTGCCCCGAAAATCGCAAGACATTCACGGCGGCGGAGTGCACACCCATAAACTTCGCGGCCAAGAAAGCGAACCGCGTAAAAGTGAGTAAAATTGCCTACCTCTGTAAGCCACATGTTTTTATTTAGCCTCATTGAGGCATACTGAGGGGTATGAGTGGGGTTCTTTGAGCTGTAAAAGTAATAAGCAATGCAGTTTTCGTAACACTTTTTCTTAGGTTGTTTTACGGTTTTGATGACGGCAATCATTCACAACTGCTTCCAGTATATGCCTTCATTGACTTCTCCTACTACCCCGCTGCGGTGGTCTAGTGGCTAAGGTACTCGGCTGCTGACCCGCAGGCCGTGGGATTGAATCCCGCCTGCGGCGGCTGCGGAAGTGTTGTAGGACCGTGTTCTCGCATTTTGGTGCACGTTAAAAAACCCTAGATGGTCAAAATTTCCGGAGCCCCAAACTATGGCATCTCTCCTAATCATATGGTAGTTTTGGAATGTTAAACCCCACACAGCAATCAAACTTCTACTAGATACATGTTCACGTGGCCCTACCCCTGCCGCTACACAATGAAAAAAAGCCGGTGCCGAGTCGGCCAAAATAAACAATGTTTAACTCATGTTAGGATAAAGCTGTGGTGCGCCAGCATAACTTTTTCACCCTGAGAAGTCAAGATGTATTCGGAGACTAGAAAATATTCTACTTCGAGGAGCAACGTTGATTCTGGTACGGTACAGTTGTGCACTTCAATCCCCAATACGCATAGTGGACTTAACTCTGCGGAAGGCTTATAACAACGTCAACGTTTCTTCACATTCTTTTCACTAAACCAAATTAACATCTACTGTAACAAACATTTCATCTCATGACAACGGAGACCAAGGAGATGTACGCAAAGCGTTTAGTTAAGACCTTACATGCCAATTAACACGCGTTTTTTTTTTCCTGCTAAGAACCATAGAAAATGTAAATCATTGTCGCTAATTATACGAGAAAGCAATGGTGCAGAAGAAACATTTAAAATAATCTGAAAAGACGCTAAGAAATTCTATCATGCAGGCGTGCTTAGTTTACTGGGTGACCTTCAGCTCGTTCGCTACTGTCGGTGTCGTTGACTGTGACCAAAAACTAGTCGCCTTGTCCGTGACCAGAAACCTGAAGAAGTGAGGATTCAACCCAAGCTGTTTGCGTCGCAAGCAGATGTTCCACCAGAAAGTGATGCTTTTACTTAGGAATAACTCGATAGGAAAAAGATGCACTTCATGGCATTCATACATGCGATGAAGTGCATGGAATAACCTCAATTATTGTGAGATTTTGCATGGCATGCGCGTAGGACTACGTGAAGCATCTAAATATGAAAATTGCGAACATGTGCTTGTTTTAAAGGGCCACACGCTGCAAAACGTTTAGACGTATTAGGGAGTTTTAGAATAGCGCACCACGAGCTCTTGATGTGCGGTCGCAGCCCCGTTCGCGTTTGTGCTCCCCCCCCCCCCTAGCTGAATATTCAAAATAGCGTGTGGCAATCGCAGCCCGTGATGCCCGCAAAATGATGTGCGTAGCTTTTGTGCATTTCGGTTTGTGGTCGGGGCGACAGTCCGTAGATTTTTTTGCAGGCGGAGCGAACGCTATTCTTAAGCTCATATGGCGCCAACAACACCTGCAAGTGCTATTCTAAAGCTCCCAATTGATTGATATGTGGGGTTTCACGTCCCAAAACCACTATATGATTATGAGAGACGCCGTAGTGGAGGGCTCCGGAAATTTAGACCACCTGGGGTTCTTTAACATGCACCCAAATCTGAGCACACAGGCCTACAACATTTCCGCCTCCATCGGAAATGCAGCCACCGCAGCCGGGATTTGAACCCGCGCCCTGCGGGTCAGCAGCCGAGTACCTTAGCCACTAGACCACCACGGCGGGGCTAAACCTCCCAATTAAATCACCATATTGCACCGAAAGCATGTGCGGACATTTATTTCACTGCAGCTCTAATGGGAGCGATGGACATGGGGCCTGACAACGTAATCACGTCGTAATCTTGAACGCCAAACTCAAGCGAACTCAGTTTCGTTTTAATGATATTGAGCTGGCTGAAATTACTCGGGATTAGGATTGCTGATTTCGCAAGGTAGTTAGGGCTTAAGTAATTGTCTGTTGCAATATTTGTGCGAATTCGTTTTAATGAAACACATTCGATCGTAACTTCCACATACCACCGCAGAATGATGACTGCAGATGATTTGTTTTCGCGCATTGAAAATTGTCTTAATTTTGAGTGATGTCATGCGATTTTATATGAATGGTAAAAGAAAGTGGTTTTTCAAAACGATTGGGCTAGCTTAGAGCAATCAGTTCTTGCGTGCTAGCGTACAATAATAAAAATAACCTAAATATTTTCACCAGCTTTTCGTGCTTCAGTTGTGTCATATGCAACAAAACGCTTTTTCCTGCGAAATGGGAAAAAGTGAGCTTACATCTTCACTTATACAGAGAGCTCTCGTATAAAAAAACTCTCATATCGACAAAGGCTATAACTCTCTCAATGTCGGGTGTGTCTGGCGATGACGTAAGTCCTGTACGTGTTTCGTTTTGGTATTATGAGGAGAGTTTGAAAAGATGAATAAAAAATGTTACATTAAAGATAAAGAATAGGCGTCGAAATAGAGCATGCCTCGTATGCTCTTAACAGACAAGATTCAGGCCAAGGCTGGCGAGCTCGGCAAACCAGCGATTGGGGAATGTACTGGTCTACTTGAGAAAATAGCAGGTGCTCCTCTGGACTTGACTCGAGATAGAAGACACGCCAACAGAGTAATACTGTTTAAAACGTGTCCGTGCATCTGCGCGTTTCGATGGCAAAGGTCAAGATAGTCACCTTTCTTGATAGTTTGGAGACGCTCCATGAGCTATGGACGTCATGTGGCCGTAATTTTTCTAGAGTGGATGGCCACTGGTAGGTGACTGCACCGTATTGTTTTAGCGAAACGTAGGAAACACCCGTATTTTCGTTCATATCGTCACATCATCGGCGCAGCGATAAGTACTGCTGTCTTTAGAATTAGATATAAATACATTTTAGAAATGAAGACAAGCACCGCCTAATACTTGTGTATTTGTGTTTACCTCGAAATTGCGTGATACTTTGATTGGAAATGTTCACAAGTATGAAAGCAGACAGCAGAACTTTCCCTGGGTGGTTGAATCGTGCGACAGACAGAGCAACAGAAAGCCAAACAAAAATTTGTATATTGAAGTATCTCAAGAAACGCCGTCTTCTTTTAAAAACCTTCATACCCGCGGCATATGATGGGACAACCATAAAAATAATAATCTCAAGTGCGCCGTATGGTCGGCCGAGTAGCGATAGCGGCTCTGTGACGCCCCCCAGCAAAGAAGGCTAGACGCAGTGGTTAAGTACTCTTCAAGGCACGTGCCAAGAGTGCGAGTGGTGAAAATGAATGCTTGTAGACGTATCAGGCAGGCGGCAGAACCAGTAAAACCACCCTAAAACACGCCAGCGTTGCGCATGGGCGCGCTTAGAAAAGTGTTGTAAGTTGAGCTAGTAGGTATGGCAGCATTAGCAGGTACAGCGCGAGGTCGACCAAGACTATCATGATTGCACCAGCCATATACCTTCGTCATCCATTCACGTACCGTAATGTCGAATTTGGTATATGTGACTCTAACGAAAACGCCGCGAGCGCATCATGAGCGTGACATGTAGTCATGTAGTTAGTTACATGACACGCATGTCATGGTTTTCATGTTAGGGTCTGTCGCTTGTGTTCACCATGCAATCATGTTATACCATACCAGTTTGCATCTTGCCATGTGAACGAAACCACAACAGCTGCAGGACCATAAAATGTAAATTATGACATTCATGACATACGTATCATGATTTTCATGTTATGACTAGGCATACGTGTTCTTCATACAATCATATTATAACGGCCAGGAGAGCTAAACGTCGTAGGCGGATAGATGGACGGATGTATGGATGGATGGATACGCTCAAAGTCGCTGAAGTTCGCTAAAAAATGCTTCGCATTTAAGAGTTACGAGGTGTACTACCTAATGAAACATGTGCAAAGAAAATACGTCAACTCTGTCCGATTTCAGAGTCGGCGCTCTTCTGCGTCGCTTCCGTTTCCTCTATCGTTGACCTCTCGCTGCACACACAATTCCTAACGCTTAGCACTTGCATTGTAGAATGCATTGCGACAGAGAACTGGTTGAAGCGTGCCAGAAAACGGTTTTTTTGCAGTCTGTTTTTGACTAGACCACTACTGGAGCAAGTTATTGGTACCATAATTCAATGGAAACGCTCGTTACTAACGGAGCTACGAGTAATGAATAGCTATCCTCCTCCTCCACTCTTCCTTTCACCCTGAACTACCTCAACTCTTCTTTCGACCCCGCCACGGTGGTCTAGTGGCTAAAGCACTCTGCTGCTGACCTGTGTGCCGCGGGATCAAATCCTGGGTGCGGTGGCTGCATTTTCGAAGACGGCGAAAATGCTGTATGCGCATGTGCTCAGATTTAAGTGCATGCTAGAAACCCTAGGTGGTTGAAAGTTCCGGAGCCCTCCACTACGGCGTCTCTCATAATGTTGGCGTTCGGACGTTAAACCCCACATATAATGTCTTCCTTCCAGAGCTTGGGGCTAAGCTCCACATTCACTGGCTTGTGCCACGTGTTTGTGTTAGAAAAAAACAACTACAAAAGCAGCAAAGCACATTCGGGGCCAGGTTAGGCAGATCAGCACTTCAAAAAAAGTACTTGCTCCGTACTTCTGTGTGCCTCGCGGACTATTTTCCCCACAGGTCCAAGGACTAAACCGCTATCGAATCGCAACGTATACACTTGAAACACGCACGAGATGGATGTTACAGATGGACGTAATTTATCGCACGAAAACCTAAACGATGACACCCTAATTTCACATGCGCGGCTAGGACTCTATAACCAACCCTACTTAACACTGAAGCATTCACTTCCCACAGCGACCGAAATTCTCCTGTCGCCGAAACGCAGCATTGTTCGCGCTGGACGCGCACCGCAGCGCCGGATAGCCATCTGTCGAGTGAACAATGAACCACGGGTCGAGCGCGGGATGTATGCGTGGTTCCTCGGACATTGTCGGCGCCTCACAACTTAGTGCTCGCGTGAAGAGTTGGATCTTAGTTTTGCGCCTTCCAATGCTGGTCGCAACTCGGAAGAGAAAGAAAACTACATCGCAAGGTGCTCCCGATTTGAGGAGCGAAGCAACAGAGGCAGAGGCAACTCCTACTTACGAGTCAATCCGGGCTCGTTTTCTATTTTATTCCACAAGTCGTGCTTTAGCAAGCTGTCTGATTGGTGTGGCGTTTGTCGTATAGGACCGGGAGGTTGCGCCCCAATTCAATGAGCATTTCTGCTAAGCGCACGTTACTAGACGATTACATGACGAGCGAGTTGGACTTGGCCGCCAATTACACAAATTTTTCGACTGGCGCTCCTACGCCACAAAAATAGGTCCAAGATCGGTGCGCATAGAGCGCTTTCGGCGGTCAGAATGTTCAGTCAGAATAAGCTCACTTCGCAGTGTGAATGGGCTCGGCCGCAATGAATGCGTTCCTTTACTCAGTGACAGTGAGCCATTTACCAACGCCATTTCTCATTGGCAGAACTCGGAGCTTGGTGGCTTCGGCGTGTTCTTATCACGAGCGAAATAGCGCAAAGAGTGCGTTAGATGAGCTTCAAGGGTCATCGCCCCACCCATCCCGATACCCACGCACCTCAACATGGCGCAGTCGATCGTCCACGCATATAATTATTCCCGTGTGTGGGTGGCTTGCACATCATCTGCTTTCACCGCAGGTTTGCGTTGAAGTTATGGAAAGCAGAAATGTCGTTTCATGTGGTGCAGTGGCCACGTTTAGGAAAATAGCGAGCAACTCTCACAAAAAGAAGTACCAATAGCTACAGTTTACAGTACACGTCTCTCTGCATACTTGTGCGATCATTTCGTGTCTCTTTCTTTGTGTTTTGAAGAGCGCCTTAAGTGTCGAGCTGGACAGTTGTTGATTCCTGCTCATCCTGTCTGTTTTCTGTTCGTGCGTCCTTTTGGCTTAAAGAACGCACTGTAAAACGCGGGCTGCGTCCTTTTCCTCACGTGGCATTAGTTTCTCTATATCATTTTATGTTATATATCATTTATATTATTCTATATCGAACAAAACATAATCAGCGGTTCACCATATATCTGAAAACGAGTTTAACAATCGAGTGGTACTGAATCCTAAACTGAGGCGTAATGCATATATATGTTTATTGAATCGATAGTTACGTAAACACGCATGGTCGTATCGACACCTCTCAGATATACTGAGTTGTCTTCTTGCTATGTAGTGATTGTTCTGCGTCTGCAAGATCACTCCGCCAGAGTAATAATTTTTGCTTGTCTAGAGCTGGGCTTTCGTAATGTAAGTAGCAGCACTTCTTACTTATTTCCCTGTGCTGTGCCAACGCACCAACATAGCGGCTGCAGCAGCACCAAAACAAGGTAAAAGGAAAGCCTAGTTAAACACGTGCTTTATCTGAATAAAGGGCATTACTTCGTTGGCCTCGAGCGTGCGTCTTTGTTACTACATCACCTTCTAGTTAAAAAAAAATGTATGTAAAAAATTGCGACAAACTCTTGTTCTTCTTAAAACTATTTACAATATACATCGAGCTGTCACTGTTCATGCTGTTGTTCCATCACCTGTAACCAAAACCCACTATTGTGGCAATGAATAAACCTTATCTTTTAATATCCGGACCAATCCGACCATTCATGTTGCCTTGAAACTCAGCGACTTGATCTGATAACCAACGTTGTTTTATATTTTTTAAGGTGTACTGTTGGAACGAATCAATGGGCTGCAAGTTCACGGGACCCCTAGAAGACCTTCTACAGCACTTTGAGAACGACTGCGCCTTCCACGTGCTGTATTGCGGGACTGGAAATCACTACCTTCTGCGCAATGACGCTGTAGAACACAAACTTAACGGGTGCCGCTACCAACGTTCATGTGTCGAGACGGAGCCCTCAGCCTCGCAAACTACTCCAGTGGCTTCTCCAGACTGCAGCGTCAATGAGGAACACGAGAAGACGCTTGCAATAGACGTTCCTCAAGACGCTCAGCTGGCTGCACTTCAGGACCAAATAACCCAGCTTGCTAAAGATGTCGCGTACCATCAAATTTTAATAAGAGAACTCAATGACGGGCAAAGGAAGTCTGCACTTACTGTTAGTAATGTCGTGACCTCGGTCGTAACCTCGGTGATATCTGAAGCTTTTCGAAAACAGATAAAGGGAGCAAGTTTCAAGGATGATAATGCCGCGATGTCAGCCCTGTCACCGTCTTCGGAGAAGGCAGTCATTCTTAGAAAGCTTGAGCAATACGCCAACGTAACGCTCGGCACTCTGGAAGAGTTACGTCAGAACATGCGACAATTCGATCATGCTGCAGTTATTGCTCGTTGTGAGCCCGTGCTTCCTAGTCGCGATAGGCTTCGTCATTTGACTAAAGTACAAACAGCTAACTCTCAAGTGGGTGCAGAAATACCTAGCGTCACCTATATTCTGACACTTAAAAATGCCGACGAACTCTTTTCAAGCGCCACGGAAGACCGTACGTTCGCTGAAGTGACCACGTGGCACATGCGAGACACCTACTTTGTGGTCACTGTACGAAAGATTGCTGCTGAAGACGCTATGCTTTTAGGTTTGGAGATCGAGTTTAATGATTTCCGTGAAGGTTCTCAGTGGTTGCCTTCCTCTCGGTCAGTTACCGTGGTACATCCAAACGGAAGGAGATTCGATATGCTCGAAGTACATGACCCGCCTTGTTCATGTAAGCGCAGTCTTGATACGCTGCATCATGCTCACCTATCATTCTTGGCAGATGTCAGTCGCCTCTCGAAGGGCTTTTGCCAAAACAAGAAGATGACGAACGAAATAAAGCTGGCGACATAATCGAGTAAACGTGCTAAAGAATTGTGCTTCATCATACTCTAAAAAGTAATCGTCCGCTGCTTCATCACATATTGATGTTGCATCCTGTC